ATCACAGCAATATAGTATTCTGTATTTTCTATATGGTGTTTTCCTCTACAAAAGAGTTTTGTTCCTTCTTATACTATCATGTTTATTGTGCTTTCACTTCAGGTTGAAGAACTCCCTTTAGCATTTCCTGTGAGGCAGTTCAAGTGATGAGAAATAGTTTGTTTTGTTTGTTTGTGGAAATTTTACCGCTCCTTCATTTTTGAAAGAAGGTTTTGATGAGTTTAGGTTCTCGGTTGGTGGGTTTTTCGTTCAGAACTTTGAGTATATTTTCTCATTCTCTTTTCTTCTGCAAAGTTTCTGCTTAAAAATCTGCCGACAGTATTGAGGGGTTCCATTGTTTGTGACACATGTCTTTCCCTTGCTGCTTTCAAAATTCTTGTTGTCGTTGAGTTTTGTCAACTTGTTTATAGTGTGTCTCGGTGTGGATTTTTTGTTTGTTTGTTTTCTTTGATTTGAAGTTCTTTATACATGAGGATTTTTTTGTCCATTTCCTTCCCCAGATTTGGGAAGCTTTCTTCCATTGCTATTTCCAAGCTTTCTAGTCTCTTCTCTTTCTCTCTTCCCTTTTAGTATTCCTGTACTGCATATATTGGTCCCCTTCATGTCTCTTCAACTTCTTTTCTTTCTCTCCCCTTTTTGTTCCCTGACTGAATAATTTCCAGTGATGTATGTTTTAGTTCGCTGATCCTTTCTTATTGATCTAGTCGGTCGTGAACACTCTGATGACTTTTCAGTTCAATTATTGTATTCTTTAGCTCTATTTCTGTTTGAGACATTTAAATTGTATGTCTTTTTGTTGAAATGCTACATCATTTTTCATTGTTCTCCTGACCCCTGTGATATTTTGAGTTATCTTTCAGATTAATCATATATCTCCCGTTTCTTCATTTTCCTTGACACTCTGCATTGCTGTCTACACATTAGACAGTCACTTCTCTCAGTATTCACTGACTAGTCTCTTGCAGGAGAAGAACCCCACCAGATGCTTAGCTAAAAGTTCTGAAGGTCTTTCAAACTTGCAAGCTAGTTTTTGTTCTAGTCATCTCCAGGTGTCTAGAGTATGCTGAGTCCTGTCAATGATCCAAAACAAGTAAGACAGAAGGCGGTTCCTCATGAAACTCCTCCCAAAAGTCGTGAAAATTTGGAATGCCAAAGGTACTTGTCAACTGATTTGCTCCTCAGGGAAAATCTGGGAGTTGGGAGTTCCTCCTCAATATTTGGCCCTTTGCTGGGGTGGGTAGTTACGTTGAGAATGTGCCTCTGCTCTTCTTTCTGGCTTTGATGTGGCTGGATTAACATTCACTAAGGGTACAGAAGTCTTTCAAATACTCTCTGTGTTTTTGACAAGGAAACTTTTCATGTGTTTCTTTGCATCACTGTGTCCACTGAGGGAAGGAGAGTTCAGAGCTTCCTATCGTGCCATGTTACTGATGTTACTCCTTCTCGTGAGACCGTGTTCTTACGGAACTGTCCGTTTCAATTAAGTTATGAAATTGGTGGATATAGAGTTGTTAATACTATTCCTTTATTATCCTTGTAATGTCTATGGCATTAAAGAGGTGGCCCCCCTCTTAGTTACAGCCTGTGT